TCCCTTGAAACACTCACAAGCACAAACTCCAGGGGCAAAAACACGAACGAAGAGCTTTGTGTTTTGGGCACTGTTATTAAATTTATATGGGGTTGGGGAGAGTATGTATGGATCATAATATATATTTTAGAAAAAGCACTTTGTAACTAGACTTTAAAGCCACCCTAGAACAGCCATTCTTGACTAGGGCTCCTCCAGAGGCTGAGTTCAACTATAGGCTGCAAAATATTCCACCAGCAGACGCTAGAGGTTCCTCCAGAAGACCCCAGAGGTTCCTCCAGAAGACCCCAGAGGTTCCTCCAGAAGACCCCAGAGGTTCCTCCAGAAGACCCCAGAGGTTCCTCCAGAAGACCCCAGAGGCTCCTCCAGAAGACCCCAGAGGCTCCTCCAGAAGACCCCAGAGGCTCCTCCAGAAGACCCCAGAGGCTCCTCCAGAAGACCTCAGAGGCTCCTCCAGAAGATGCTAGAAGTTTTACCCGAGGATGCGAGAGGTTCCTCCAGAAGACACCAGAGGTTCCTCCAGAAGACGTCAGAGGCTCCTCCAGAAGACGCCAGAGGACACCAGAGGTTCCTCCAGAAGACGCCAGAGGTTCCTCCAGAAGACGCCAGAGGTTCCTCCAGAAGACGCCAGAGGTTCCTCCAGAAGACGCCAGAGGACACCAGAGGTTCTTCCAGAAGACGCCAGAGGTTCCTCCAGAAGACGCCAGAGGTTCCTCCAGAAGACGCCAGAGGTTCCTCCAGAAGACGCCAGAGGTTCCTCCAGAAGACGCCAGAGGTTCCTCCAGAAGACGCCAGAGGTTCCTCCAGAAGACGACGCCAAAAAGGTTCCTCCAGAAGATGCTAGAGGTTTTTCCTGAGGATGCTAAAGGTTCCTCCAGAAGCTGTTAGGGGGGTTTGATCTGTTGCTGACTGGCCTTCCATTTGATGATGCCTGCACAGTTTTGAGTCTAGCTTTTGAGTCCAACAATATACTGTGATACGATTGATCCTTTAAGCTGTCTGTAAGGGTGCCATTCTGACCACCACTGTAAAGGGGGCATTCTCCTTACTTTCCACCAATTTTGCCACTAATCCCCAATAAATTCTTACCAACAATTCCCTGAGACCTGAAAATTAATTTGAGGATTATCCTGGGGTAAAAGGGTTGAGAAAGGCTGCCTTATACCAACAATCTGCTATAGACCAAAATCTAACAAGTTGACAGAGGCAAAGAACATAATGGACTGAACCAATGCTTCTCTTGGCCACAACAGTAGAAGTGTATATAAGCATTTTGCTTCATGAACAGTTGCCTTTAAATGAATTATATAGATAAAAATCAAATTTATTTATTGAAACTTATATAAAGCTAAAATGTAATACTAATAAAAAAAAAAACTCAGAACAAAATTAAAGGGCAAGCTCTATACTGCAGCTAGTGGAGAACTACAAGTTCCAGGCATCCAGATATTAATAGTTTTTAGGTGCTAGAGGGAAAGGGATGCTACAAGATTCTACCTAAACCCTCAGAATAATCTATGTGTCGGTATTATCTGCGACAGGAGCTTGCACTGGCAGAAAAGTGACACAAGACAAGGCCTCACTATCGTCCGCTGACTACTATAAGTACATCCATATAAGCTCTTAGTGGAAGGAGTCAGTGCATTAATCCCCAGAGATCAGCCCTTGTCAGGCGAGCTTAGCACAGCCGAATATTGATTCGCTAAGCTTTACAGCCAGAAGTGTCTCGGTACAACTAGAGCAAGAGGAGGAGCGAGCAAAGAAACCGACAAGGACAGCATCTTACCGCAAAAAAGTCAATCCACCAACCTAGGTCAACTAGCAGAGGCTCGAGGAAGACCATTTCTGATTTGTTGTTGTGCATTACTTTTGATAAACTTTATTCTTTTTAGTAAAACAGTTATGTCAGCAGAGATTCTGCCACCAATTTATGAAGCTGGTAGTGTCCTCCAGTCATTGGCAAGGTGGACTCATGCTGGTAGCAGATAAGCAGATGAGGGTGAAAGGGAAGCCAGAGTGATGCCAGGAAATGTACCCCCTGTGATATGATCCTAGCAAAGAGACTGGAAGGGTGACAACGATGCAGTAGAGCTTCAACTAGCATGCCTGTGTGTTGTCACTTTTTCAAAAGAAGTGGTTTTACTGGAAGAAACAATTGAATCATATTAAAGAAGAACTTGACTCCCCCCCAAAAAAAAAAAATCAGTTAATATGGGCAGCACTGTGGCTAAATGGTTAGCACTTCCCCCTGGCAGTACTAGGGTCGTTGGTTCAAATCCCAACCACGGCACCACCTGCCTGGAGTTTGCATGTTCTCCCTGTGCCTGCGTGGGTTTCCTCTGGGTACTCTGGTTTCCTCCCACACTCCGAAGACATGCTGGTAGGTGAATTGGATCCTGTCTAAATTGGCCCTAGTATGTGTATGTATGAATGTGAGTTAGGGACCTTAGATTGTACACCCCTTGAGGGTTAGGGACCTTAGATTGTACTCCCCTTGAGGGTTAGGGACCTTAGATTGTACGCCCCTTGAGGGTTAGGGACCTTAGATTGTACGCCCCTTGAGGGTTAGGGACCTTAGATTGTACTCCCCTTGAGGGTTAGGGACCTTAGATTGTACGCCCCTTGAGGGTTAGGGACCTTAGATTGTACGCCCCTTGAGGGTTAGGGACCTTAGATTGTACGCCCCTTGAGGGTTAGGGACCTTAGATTGTACGCCCCTTGAGGGTTAGGGACCTTAGATTGTACGCCCCTTGAGGGTTAGGGACCTTAGATTGTACGCCCCTTGAGGGTTAGGGACCTTAGATTGTACGCCCCTTGAGGGTTAGGGACCTTAGATTGTACGCCCCTTGAGGGTTAGGGACCTTAGATTGTACGCCCCTTGAGGGTTAGGGACTGATGTGAATGTACAATACATATTTAAAGCGCTGCGTAAATTGACAGCGCTATATAGGTACCTGAAATAAATAAATATGCCTATAGCTATACCCATAAGACAAGCAAACCCGACACTGTCCTTCTCCTGCACCATTCTCATCCTGCTGTCCCCCTCTCACACCCCATGTTCCTCTTGGACATCATTAGGGAGCTGGCTGTCTCTTCCTGGTTCCTGCAGCCGGTCCCCTAATGGCATGGTGTCTGATACATGTTCCTGGCATTATGGGCAAGCCTAGAGCCTTCTGGGATATGTGATGAGATGTTCCAGGAGGCTGCAGGGGAGGTGAACACGTTGAAAATAAAAAGGTGAGGGGGTGAGAAAAAAAAAAATCTATTTTATGCTGTGGAGGAGTGAGTTGGGATGGTAGAAATTCTACTTTAATGGGAGGCAGGACCGGGAACAAGGGTTGGGCAGGAGAGGCAACTGCCTTGGGTGCAATGGCTTACTGTAGGATGGGGGCACCTTCCTCCTGTTGCAAGGCTGACAGAAGTAGTTACCGCGGCAGAAACTTTGACAGGCAAGTGACTGCTGGGAATAGAAGCTTGCACATCATGAATGGAGGGGGGCGGGGGGGTTTGGTGCAGTTTGGGATCTTAGCCCTGGCCGCTGCATGACCTTCTTCTGCACTAATGGCAGGATTTTATTAATGGTAATAGCCTCCATCAAATATTGAATTTTACAATAAATACACTTTCATGTGAACTCCAGGTCCCCTCTATAATCCCCATACTTCAGCATACCCAGTGTTAAACCTCCTGGCACTGATTGCGTCAAAGCACTCGCCATTTTCTTTTTCATATTTTCTTTTTCTGATTTTTATCAGTGACTCACCACTAATTCTTATGAAGACCTAATCCTCCTCTGCCAATGTCCACATTTGCTTCACATTTGACACACTGCAAATGAAAGTCTAAGTCGAAAATTTTGATTTGCATACGGTGGTATTTATCCTCTTCAACCGCCGCCAAGAAGCTTTGTAGCTCTTCAGAAAAACGAGGGCACTATGTATTGGCTGGTGAATGCAGTGTGATTTCTGCAGCTGGCTGCCAGTCCGGGGGGGGGGGGGAGGGGGTGCGCGGTATGGTGATGAAGTATGTTTTGGTTCATCAGATGCTGAAGACCACCTCTCAACTCAACCTTGTTCGTAAAACCATTTCAGGCAGCCAACACCAACCAGGTTCAAACCGGTGTTGGAAACGGACAGCCGGAGAGTGAAAGTTTCAGTCTGTCTGGTTGCTGACAGTCGTCTGAGATAGTTCCCTCGGAGAGCTGTATAAATAATGCTCAAAATAGAACATTTGATGGTTTTATAGCATGCTTTCCCAAAATCCTCTGAGAGCGCCAACAGAAAAAAAAAAATAGCATCTGCAAATTATGTAAAAACAACAAGCAAGAGCTGTTTTAGAAAAGAAGAACTCAAAGCACAAAAGTACAACCTGGACATCAAGTCAAAAGTGTTAAAAATGTTTTAAGGGTTCTTTCAGATCTAAGGAGAATAGACTCTTGTTGAGATTGTGATCCAAGACTTGCCAGGAATACAATATTAGGTAACAGTATTTACCTTACACTTTAAAAAAGCAAATCCAACGGATTTGTTCATAGCAACCATCCTCAACCACGGTTGTGCAGAACACTACAGTTCCTCTAGAGCATACTAGGTGGGGTTCCTCGAGATGTGGCTGATTGACCTCCCATTTGATGGTGCCTGCATGGTTTCCAGGGTCATTACCACATGGCCTGGTGTAACACACCTATGATATTTTTTTAGCAGTCTATAAGGGTGGCATTCTGACCACTAATGCAAGATGAGCATTTTTCCAACCGACTACCAACATAAGGGCATTTTTCCCACTGACCACCAACGTAAGGGGCATTTTCCCCCATTGAACACCAACATAAGGGCATTTTTCCCACTGACCACCAACGTAAGGGGCATTTTTCCTTATTGGCCACCAGTGTAATGGGCATTTTTCCCCATTGACCAACGTAAGGGGCATTTTTCCCCATTGACCACCAATGTAAGGGGCATTTTTCCCCATTGACCACCAACATAAGGGGCATTTTTCCCCACTGACCACCAATGTAAGGGGCATTTTTCCTCATTGACCACCAATGTAAGGGGCATTCTTCCCACTGACCTCCAACATAAGGGGCATTCTTCCCACTGATCTCCAACGTAAGGGGCATGCTTCCAACTGACCACCAACGTAAGGGGCATTCTTCCCACCGTCCACCAAAGTACGGGGCATTCTTCCCACTGACCTCCAATGTAAAGGGTATTTTTCCAACTGACTACCAGCGTAAGGGGCATTCTTCCCACTGATCTCCAACGTAAGGGGCATGCTTCCAACTGACCAACGTAGAGGGCATGCTTCCAACTGACCACCAACGTAAGGGGCATTCTTCCCACTGACCTCCAATGTAAGGGGCATGCTTCCAACTGACCACCAACGTAAGGGGCATGCTTCCAACTGACCACCAACGTAAGGGGCATGCTTCCCACTGACCACCAAAGTAAGAGGCATTCTTCCCACTGACCTCCAACGTAAGGGGCATGCTTCCAACTGACCACCAACGTAAGGGGCATGCTTCCCACTGACCACCAAAGTAAGGGGCATTCTTCCCACTGACCTCCAATGTAAGGGGTATTTTTCCCACTGACCACCAATGTAAGGGGCATTCGTCCCATTGGCCACCAATGTAAGGGGCATTCTTCCCATTGATCACCAATGTAAGGGGCATTTTTCCCACTAGTCCCTGATCAATTGGTTTTAGTAAGGGCTCCTAAAGAACTAAGAGGGTTTCTCTGGGACAAAAGATTGAGAAACCCGAATCTGCAGCTTTCCTCCAACTGTGTCTGTCTGCCCCATATTTGCACTATTTATCCAATACCACAAGCAGTACATATTTGCCATTTTACAGAGAAGAGCAGCGATTGGCCAGAGAAGGATTACATAGATGAAGCTGGCCAGCTTGAACGTGTCTTGCAATAAACGTGAACAAAAATCGCTGTTTTTATGTAAGTATGTGCTAGAAATATGTAAGGGTGTAGAGCAGTGTGCAAAAATGTATTTCAGAATTTTCACCGACAAAGTACACAATGGCACCACGTGATCAAACGGGCAGTTGACATATGTCCCTCTCTCAAGAGTCTGAACGCGTATCGTCAACAATCATGTTTTGCCACCAACACAGATTGCTGCAAAGGCCTGGCTGAAAAAGTTGAATACATATTCAGTAACATACTAAAAAAAAAATGTTTGCAGTAAACACACAGAAATGTATTTAAATCAGAAGTCACTCTTTGATGCTCGTCAGCGGGTTTACTTGCCATTTAACTCGATTCAGTGGCATATGCTGCCTTTTAATTTGCATATTGGTGCCTTGGGCTACACGGCGGACAACAGGTGGAACATCACAGCAACACCTCGCATGAGAACATAGATCCTCCTTCCCTGGTGCGCCATTGGCAGCCAGCAATGGCCGGCAACTTCTGCAACCCAACAGATGTCAATTAAAAAAGAAGGCTTCGACTCTTCTCTGATCAAAGCAATTATCTTACATAACAAATTCCCAGTGTCGACACATATTCCGAAAAAAAAAATCTTCTTAGGCTTTAAAAAAAGTACCTCCAGCCATATGGTGAAGTCTGTAGATATTCCGCCTTTATTACTTGCAGCCTAATAAAGAGAGGTGGTATCCATAGGACGCTGTGTGTTTTGGGGATCCCTGGCTGAGTAAAGAACAAGGAGAGATTTACCCAACAGTGAGGGAATGGTTTTAAAAACGGCCATTTTTCTAGCCTAGGGGTTTTTTTTTTTTTTTTTTTAAACGGAGTGTACACAATATACAAATGCCAAAACTGTGGTGGGCAAACTCATTCAGAATTCAAAAATGAGACAGTCCAGTCTAGAAGTCTGCAGTCACTGAACTGAACTCGGGGCATGCATAAAACAAAGCAAAAAAAAAAACCAACTGATTCAATTAAAGCTGGACTCCAGGAATGACCATTATTGCACGGTTGCATTGGCCGGCGCGGTTGCATTGACCCAGCTTGGCACAATGTAAGCATTATACTTCATAGCTGAGGGACCCCTAGAGATACAGACAATGAATGTAGTAGTTGGCACTACAAGTTGCATTGGCCGGCGCGGTTGCATTGGCCGGCGCGGTTGCATTGGCCGGCGCGGTTGCATTGGCCGGCGCGGTTGCATTGACCCAGCTTGGCACAATGTAAGCATATTTCATAGCTGAGGGACCCCTAGAGATACAGACAATCAATGTAGTAGTTGGCACTACAAGTTGCATTGGCCGGCACGGTTGCATTGGCCGGCACGGTTGCATTGGCCCAGCTTGGCACAAAGTAAGTATTATACTTCATAGCTGAGGTATGTGATTCCGCGTTGCAGTCAATGGGCCGCGATTCCGCATTGCAGTCAATGGGATGCGATTTCGCATTGCAGTCCATGGGACGCGATTCCGCATTGCAGTCCATGGGACGCGATTCCGCATTGCAGTCAATGGGACGCGATTTCGCATTGCAGTTGGGACGCATTCCGCATTGCAGTCCATGGGACGCGATTCCGCATTGCAGTCCATGGGACGCGATTTCGCATTGCAGTCAATGGGACGCGATTTCGCATTGCAGTCAATGGGACGCGATTTCGCATTGCAGTCAATGGGACGCGATTTCGCATTGCAGTCAATGGGACGCGATTTCGCATTGCAGTCAATGGGACGCAATTTCGCATTGCAGTCAATGGGACGCAATTTCGCACTGAAGTCAATGAGACGCGATTCTGCATTGCAGTCAATGGGCCGTGATTTCCGCATTGCAGTCAATGGGACGTGATTCAACAGTGCAGTCAATGGGATGTGATTCCGCAGTGCAATCAATGGGACGTGATTCCGCAGTGCATCAATGGGACGTGATTCCGCAGTGCAATCAATGGGACGTGATTCCGCAGTGCAAGCAATGGGACGTGATTCCGCAGTGCAAGCAATGGGACGTGATTCCGCAGTGCAGTCAATGGACGCGATTTAGCATTGCAGTCAATGGGATGCGATTTTGCACTGAAGTCAATGGGAGGCAATGTGTCAACCCAGGTGCCAGGATGGGATTTCTATTCGCCATGGTGACCTGACGCCTGGGATTTTTCGAGCCCTGATTATACATATACTATAGACCACGGGTGGGCAACTGTGGCCCTCCAGCTGTTGGTGAACTACAAGTCCCATCATGCCTCTGCCTTTGGGAGTCATGCTTGTAACTGTCAGTTTTGCAATGCCTCATGGGACTTGTAGTTCTACAACAGCTGGAGGGCCACAGTTGCCCACCCCTGGTATAGACCAACAGCTCCTTCATTGTAATGGACATCCAGGTCCTGTTTCAGCACTGCAGAGCAAAGCACCAGGTTAGATTTGAAGCATTATATTCGCTTCTGGAAACGAGAACGAAGATTTGAGTCCCTTACAGCATTTCAAGGTAACGCAAGGCTGCAAAAAAAATCTTGCGACAACCCCGAGCTGTAAATATGTTCAATAATCTAAACAAAGCGCGAGGTGACACCAGGCCAGGGCTCTTCCCACACAAAGGATGATAGTCTGTAAAAGCTGGAGGATGGCAAAACGTCTGTTGTCCGTGGGAACCAATCACATTACAGCGATCAGTTTTCCAGCGCAGGAGTCGGATTGGTTGTAGCGAAGGAAGGTTTTCTGAGGCTGCATGGAACACTAGGAGAAAAGAATGGTCATAAGGCCAAAAATAAAGAGCAAGTCTGGGCAAAATAAAAAATCTCCCCCCTGTAATATACTTTTATTACTCATTGATCCCGCCAGTAGATCTGTTAATATTTCCACATCCTGTGATTGGGTGACAACACTTTGTTTGGCAGTAAAATCACACAGCGGTGTTGTCACCGTTGGGACAGAATAATGAAAACTGTAGCCAGGATAAGTCCTCTCCACTGCTCTGTGTAATGTGTTACTGAACGCATCTGGTGGTCATAACTGCACATCTATAAAAATGAATCGGTCTGCCCACTCCGGACCTAAAACCGACCATAGATGGGTCGAAAACCGGCCGATTTTTCAGCTGAAAAAAAAAATTAAAAAAATCGGACGATTTTCGCACAGTTAGTGGGTTAATTGGTCGGCCGTTTTTTTCAGGGTTTTTGCAAAATTTTTATAATCTGGCATGTTTTGAAAATTCGCGTCCCATTTTGCCGATTTTTTACTGATAAAAAAATGTGCATGAGTTGTGACCTGGGAGGAAGAAGGAAGGAAGAGGAAGGGAGACAGAAGGAGGAAGAAAGAAGAAGGAAGAGGGAAGGAGGAAGAAGGAAGAGGGAAGGAGGAAGAAGGAAGAGGGAAGGAGGAAGAGGGAAGAGGGAAGGAGGAAGAGGGAAGGAGGAAGAGGAAGGAGGAAGAGGGAAGGAGGAAGGAGGAAGAGGGAAGGAGAAAGAAGGAAGAAGGAAGGAGAAAGAAGGAAGGAGGAAGGAAGGAGAAAGAAGGAAGAAGGAAGGAGAAGAAGGAAAGAAGGAAGAAGAGGGAAGGAGGAAGAGGAAGGAGGAAGAGGGAAGGAGGAAGAGGGAAGGAGGAAGAGGGAAGAGGAAGGGGAAGAGGAAGGGAGGAAGAGGGAAGGAGGAAGGGGAAGGAAGGAGGAAGGAGGAAGGAGAAGAGAAGGAAGACCAGAAGGAGAAAGAAGGAAGAAGGAAGGAGAAAGGAAGAAGGAAGAAGGAAGGAGAAAAAGGAAGAAGGAAGGAGGAAAAGAAGGAAGAAGGAAGGAGAAAGAAGGAAGAAGGAAGGAGGAAGAAAGAAGGAAGAAGGAAGGAGAAAGAAGGAAGAAGGAAGGAGAAAGAAGGAAGAAGGAAGGAGGAAGAGGGAAGGAGGAAGAGGGAAGGAGGAAGAGGGAAGGAGGAGAAGGAAGAAAGAAGGAGAAAGAAGGAAGGAGGAAGAAGGAAGGAGGAAGGAGGAAGAAAGAAGAAGAATTCCAGTCTGCTATTATATTTGACATGAAAAAAGTCTTGCGGTTGCAACAATGTATCCATTTGTATCCGAATAAATTTGAAAATGTGTGGCTGATTTTGCAGATTTTTTACCGATAAAAAAAAAATGCGCACGAGTTGTGACCTGGGAGGAAGAAGGAAGGAAGAGGGAGACAGAAGAAGGGAGACAGAAGGAGGAAAAAAGAAGGAAGGAGGAGGAAGAAGGAAGGAGAGGAAAGAAGGAAGGAGGGAGAAGGAAGGAGGAGGGAGAAGGAAGGAGGAGGAGAGGAGGAAGGAGGGAAGAAGGAAGGAGGAAGGAAGAATAAGGAAGGAGGAAAGAGGAAGGAGGAAGGAGGAAGAAGAAGAAGGAAGAAGGAATAAGAATTCCAGTCCGCTATTATATTTGACATGAAAAAGTCTTGTGGTTGCAACAATGTATCCATTTGTATCCAAATAAAACCATCTGTATCCGAAATGGATACAAATGGATACATTGTTGCAACTGCAAGACTTTTCATATAAAATATAATAGCGGACTGGAATTCTTAGGGACAGAAGTAATTATGGGGTAAAACGCCGGCCGTAGACGGGACAAAAATCGGCCAATTTTTTTTACCGTTGGTGGTAACGTCGTCCCATCGAACGACCAATTTTTCATTATTTTATTTTTTTTAAATGGCCAGTTTTCGACCGGTCTTTGGCCTGCTTTAGAGCCAGTTCACACTTGTATGCCGGGGCAGCACCAAACGTGTATGCACGCATCACCGCAAATCTTTGTGAATGGCCTCCCAACACATAGTATAACAGGGCAGAATGTACTGCAGCATACAACCACGCATGTATTTGCACTGTGGCACGCTGTGGTTTGACAAAAGGGGTAAGGCATGGTGGTGTTCACACATTTTGGTGAACTGGCAACCAAAAAAAATGTAACGCGGCGCATGTCAACGTGTCACACAACAGACCGCTTTAATGTGAACGGGCTTTTAATATTTCATCAAGACAAAGCTGCAAAGGACACCCTGATGTGTAGGACCGGATTCACACAATTCCATGTGCATGCCGTGTATATAGTAATGTGCATGGTGCAAGTGTGAACCGCCCCATAGACTTTCCCATTGTAAATATGAACCAGCCATACAGGAAAGAATGGGATTTCCACGTCAAATGATTTTTGCTACATGAAAACAGACAAGTAAATAGACCCTAGTCCAGGGGTAGGCAACCTGAGAGCCGGAGGACTACAAGTTCCATCATGCCTCTGCAAGTCATAGCTGTAACTGTCAGTTTTGTAATCTTTGCAATGCCTCATGGGAAATGTAGTTCCAATATAGGTTAATGAGCTGCGATGGAGCCCGATATACATCCTACACATTAAACAAATACTCAAAAATCTACGTTGTCATTATTTATCATCATCCCATGAATTCAAAAGGCAAAGCCAATAAAAGATTTACTGGAAAAACAGGATATGAAAGGGAAACCTTGTATTATCTATTATTAAATATTAAAACACATTTATTAGTAAAATACTTCATTCTGTCCAACTTTAATTGTATTTTATTTGTATTATTTAACAAATATTTTAAAATGTATTAAAATTCTTTATTCTATACAATTTATTTTTTTATAGTTTCATTTATTATGAATATTAAATATTTATGAAAATGTATTTATTATTAAAATACTTTATTGTGTCCAACTTGAATTGTATTTTATTTGCATCATTTATTAATAAATATCTTACAATTATTAATACTGTATTCTGTACAATTTAAATGTTATTATTTATTATTAGATATTTATTAAAATACTTTATTCTGTACAATTTTATTTTTATATCAATAAATGTTTTTAAAACTTGTACGGAATAAAGTATTTTAATAATTTTATTAATACAAAATGTTAATAACTTTTAAAAACATTAATAAAATAAAAATAAAATTGTACAGAATAAAGTATTATAATAAAACGTTTTAAAAACATTTAATAAAATAAAATTGTACAGAATAAATGTTTTTAAAACATACTTTATTCTGTACAATTTTACTATTAGGTTTTAATTTAAATATTTATTTAAAATATATTAATATATGTTATTTTGTGCAATTGTAATTTTATGTATTAAATATTACTAAAATGTAATCACTATTGAAATTGTACAGAATAAAGTATTTTAATAATGATTACATTTTAATATTTAATACATAAAATTACAATTGTACAGAATAACGTATATTAATAAATACATTTTTAATAAATATTTAAATTAAAACATATAGTAAAATTGTACAGAATAAAGTATTATGTTTTAAAAAACATTTATTCTGTACAATTTTATTTTTATTTTATTAAATGTTTTTAAAACTTATTATAATACTTTAATAAAATAAAAATAAAATTGTACAGAATAATGTTTTTAAACCTTATTAAACTAATTTATTAATAAAATAAAAATTATTAAAATACTTTATTCCATACAATTTTATTTTTATTTTATTAATAAATGTTTTTAAAACGTATTATAATACTTTAATAAAATAAAAATACAATTGTACAGAATAATGTTTTTAAAACTTATTAAAAACGTTTATTAATAAAATAAAAATTATTAAAATACTTTATTCCATACAATTTTATAAGTTTTAAAAAAATGTATTAATATAAAATAAAATTGTACGGAATAAAGTATTTTAATAGTAAATACATTTTAAAAATAATTTTAATAAATATTAAAATGAAATTGTACAGAAGTATTTTATTATATTATTTATTAAAAATATTTTTGAAATGTATTTACTATTAAAATACTTTATTCAGTATGATTTTATTTAATTTTATCAAATATTTATTATAATGCATTTCATTTTAAAATACGATATTCTGTACAATTTTGTTTTTTTATTTTCATTTGTGATTTTATGTTTTGTTTTTTTTTTTTTTTAATTTGTTAAAATACTTTATTCTGTACAATAAAAAGACCAAAACGTTATGCTGTTACCCCTCCATGGTGGCACCTTACACAGAGAGTTAAGAGGCCCTGTGACATGCGGCGGGCAGAGCTGAGTGTGGACAGAGTCCCACCGGCGGCCCCATTAATATCAGTGATTTCTCTCCTGCTCACAGTGTCGGGAGCTGTCAGTGGCTGGGATATGCTGCACGTTTGCTGCTCTCATGAACATTGATTTAGATTAAGTATCTTCGTGTTTCCGCTTTATTATGCGGATATAATTAAAATCCCAATATTCTCTCGCTGGCGGCCACACCGGGTCCGAATGTGGAAATCCTATTTATATTAATCTTTATTAAATAGAAATGAGTGCGCTAAACGTCGGGACGTTATAGGAGACACTCCAGGCTTAACTGTTTCCTGCTGGGCCGCAGGATTTCCGTGTGGGGCCGGGGCAGAGCGGGGCACCTGGGGCACGGATTAAAGAGTCTCCATAAAAAGGGACTTAAAGGTGTACGCGGGTCAATGAAAGGCCTTGAGGGTCCTTTAAGGGCTAGTTCACATTAGATGCAGTCCAGTGCATTTTGGGGTTTTTTTTCTGAATCAAAATAGCATGCACACCAATACAGAAAAAAAATACGTGTGTACATCGTTATTAAAATACTTTATTCTGTACAATTTCATTTTATTATTTATTAAAAAATTTTTTAAAATGTATTTACTATTAAAATACTTTATTCGGTACGATTTTATTTTTATTATAAAATATTTATTATTAAAATGTATTTATTTTTAAAATACGATATTCTGCATTTTTTTCTGAACAGAACTGTTCAGGAACATAGCGAACTGCATGAACACTGCACCGGAATGAAGTGTTGTGTGAACTGTAAGCAACAACGTATTTGGAGTGCGTTATTGTGGTGTGAATTTACCCAAAAAGGTGAGCTGTTGGGTAAGAGACATGATATGCATTCTGAAATAAACGTGAACTGTAGACAGATTTAAATACAAATGAATGCAGCTTACAGCCAATAATACAACATTGGAAAAAAATGTATGTGTGGACATAAAATATATATAAAATATATATGTATATATATATATTAGTGGTAAATAAATATAAACACATATATATTTATTAGTGGTAAAAATATATATATATATTCGATATATATACGTATATATATATATATGTTATATTAATTAGTGTATTAGCGGTAAAAAGGAGAGACGTTATATATATATATAATTTATTTATTATATACAAATATTATACACACACACACATATAAAGCCTTCTAGGGGAAAACGTTTTGCATATATATTTTTAGAGGGGCACACAGAAATGAAAATTTCTGGTACCGAAACCGAAACTTCAGGATGCACGTGCCCGAAAACCGAACCTGAAATGGACAGTTTTTAAAAATTAATATATTTTTCCAAATGCAATTTTTTAGGGAAAATATATATATATATTAGTGTATTAGCGGTAAATTATATATATATATAAAATATATATATAATTTATTTATTATATACAAATATTATACACACACACATATATATATTTTTAGAGGGGCACACAGAAATGAAAATTCTGGTACCGAAACTTCAGGATGCACGTGCCCGAAAACCGAACCTGAAATGGACAGTTTTTAAAATTAATATATTTTTCCAAATGCAATTTTTTTAGGGAAAAAAATACACTTAAAAAAAAAAAATGCTTAAAAAAACAAACAAAAAAAAACAATAAAAAACAATATACACTCCAATTTTTTTTTTGTAAAATATGATGTTATGCCAAGTAGATACCCAACATCACGCTTTAAAATTGCACACGCTCGTGGAATGGCATCAAACTGCGATACTTAAAAATCTTCATCCGTGACAATTTAAACATTTCTGCAGGTTACCAGTGTAAAGTTACAGAGGAGGTCTACTGCAAGAATTATTGCTCTTACTCTGATGTTCGTGGCAATACCTCACGTGTGTGGTTTGAACACAGTTTACATATGTGGGTGTGGCCTACCTATGCCTTCACCACTACGCACGAGAGCACTTTAAACTTTTTTAATTATTTATTTTTTCACTGTCCCTTTTAGGCCCCATGTACACAGGACACGTGTGTACAACGGAAACTGACTGCGTAGGTTAAAAAAATGTATGTTTAGCCGCGTTTATGTGCGTTTGCGTTTAGAAGCGTTTTTAAAGATAAGCACAGGAGGACCTCCAAAATGCCCAGAATGCACTGAAAAGTGGTAAATTATGAACTATTTCAGACTGTTTCAGAGAAATACAGAGAGTAGAAGCAGAGACAGCAGTATGTGTTGAGATTAGCTTAGGTGTGAGTTGCTCGTTAACATTTCTTTTGTTTCCAAGGGTGGGAAAGGTGTCTGCTTGGAGGGAGTCATTAAGGTCACCTGGCAGGGGGTCTTCATGAGGAATTTGAGGTGTGAGGTGTGAATGGGCATTAACATATCTTTTGTTTCCAAGGGTGGGAGAGGTCTGAGGTGTGAATGGTCATAACATATTATTATTATACAGGATATATGGCGCCAATAGTTTGCTCAGCACTTTACAATATAACAGGAGACAATACAGCAACAATACAGTTCAATACAAGAGGGATAGAAGGCCCTGATCCTGGGAGCTTACAATCTAGGAGACACATATCTTTTGTTTCCAAGGGTGGGAGAGGTCTGAGGTGTGAATGGTCATTAACATATCTTTTGTTTCCAAGGGTGGGAGAGGTCTGAGGTGTGAATGATCATTAACATATCTTTCATTTCCAAGGGTGGGAGAGGTCTGAGGTGTGAATGGTCATTAACATATCTTTTGTTTCCAAGGGTGGGAGAGGTCTGAGGTGTGAATGGTCAGTAACATATCTTTTGTTTCCAAGGGTGGGAGAGGTCTGAGGTGTGAATTGGTCATTACAATGTGTGACAAGCTTGGTAGGAACATCCTGTGTTTAGTGTTTTGTCCATTTGAGTACCTTGAAAACGCTTTACATGCATTTTTCATGATGAAACAAGGCTCTGGACAGCATCGGGAACTGGAAGAGTTAAAAAAAAATTAAAAAATTTTAAAAGCGATTTGCTGCGTTTACAAGCGTTTTGAGCTTGAAACGCTGATAAAATCAAAGTCTGAACACGAGTTTTCTGCGTTCAAAAAAAAACGACTGTAAACTCAGCTGCCTGTAAACGATGATGTGTACACAGACATATAGGAAAACATTAGGGAGAGTTCAGGGGCTGCTGAAAAAAAAAAAAGCGCAGAATATCTCCTAAACGTGCGTTTATCAGCTGCAGTGTACATGAGCCCTTCATGCGATCCTGGTCGGGGAAGTGGGAGGGGTTAACGTCTTATATAAGCCGGGACTCTGGAGACCTTCTGAAAATATTTGTGTTGTTCTGCGTTTGGAACAGACCCCGGGCTCTCCTTCATCCTGACCTGGGAATGAGCTCAAGCCCCGAGGCTTTGTGCTGAGAGGATCCATTGTTCGCCGGAATTACGAAAAAAAACAAAAACCAGCCGCAGACATATTCCTGGACTCTCCGCTGGAGAATGCGTCCTCCGAATTCCGAACAAGGCCGATATTAAATGAGAACACACAATGCTATGCACTGATCTGCCAAGAACCGGGAGATAATGCGATACGTCTCTCTGGCCGAACGGTCGCAGGATTGCTAAATTGCTGTTTTGTTAAGGGGATGAGTTGCGTTTCATCACTAGGAGGAGAGGATAGGACTTCGCTCGGGGTCCATAAACTGGGCACTAAGCAGGGGATCTCTCTCCAAAACCAGAGCCCCCTCGGGAGTCCCAACGCCAAGGACCCTCCATTACACATGAAGCCTATGGCTGCCCCCCCCCAACTACTCAATAACGTCAATGGATGGTCTCATTGACTACTACACAAGAGAGAAAGTGGAGACACAGAAGACAGATAATGTCACTGCAGTCACTAATGATATGAAACCCCCACAATGCTCCTGACAACCTGTGAGCTTTTGTCAGTCTCATATGTACATTGTCAATATATGGGGGAAGGGGGGGGTTAATCCATGTTGTGATCTGCTATGGTTTGCTTTAAATGGTGCCCCATTGCGCATATAAAAAATGGGTGTGCGGCAGGGGGGCACCCAGCACATCATCTATCTCTTTCCTCCCCCAGCCTGGCAGCCCTTGGCCCTACCCTTACATTGATGCCCAGCATCATCTAGCTCTTAATAAAACACACAGCGCACTGCTAAAAAATTTATATATCTTTTAAGGTGCCTTAACCTCCCTGGCGGTCTGATTATTTCAGATTTTTGGTGCTGAAAGCGGTACAATTATTTTGCATGGAAATTTGGCATTTTATATTGCAGGCTGTAATTCTTAGGAATAACTCACTGAAATCTGTCCGAACAAGAGTCTAATAAACATTTCCGGATATGATAAAACTGGAAACACAAAATCATAAATTATAATTTAATCATAAAAAAATAATATATATATAATAACAATATATTTAATTCAATAATATAATCAAACCAAAAACACTGAAATGTGAAATATAGCGCCAAGTTCGCACATCGCTGAACAAAGTCGCAGAATCGTTTTCAGTGTCTGATGAGGAATTTCCCCCACGAATCATTATCACTCAATTCTGCAAGTGGTTCTGATTTACTATCGCTGTTCTCTAGCCGGTCTAAAACTGCTTTTGACCTAAAGGGACGCTTTTTGGACGCCATGGACGTTTCTCAGTTTCCAGGCAGAAAGAACAGTAAAAATGCAGGCAGGGCGCCGGACAAAGCACTCGGGACAAAATGTATGTGAAATGGTTTGATACAGGAATGTTATACTATGTGATTTTAGTGTATTTAGCGAATGTCACTTTTTGTCATTTTCAAATTTCCCGCCAGTTCCGTCTCCGTACGTCCCGGCGCTCGCAGAGGACGGAACCCGGAAGACAGATGCTGGCATCGGCCGGAGGACATTACCGGGGACACTGCAGGGGGGACATCGCGGGATGATGCGAGCGCAGGACAAGGTAAGTGATCAATGGATCGTGGAGCAGCGCCATAGGGTATTCCCGAGTGCTTGTGGTGCTGAAACTTTACCCCGAGCTACACTCGGGAATACCGCCAGGGGGGTTAAAGATATAGTAGATGACGTTCATGGATAAAATTATTATAAAATATATATAGAAATATCCAAAAGTGACAATAGTGCTCTGAAGGTGCCCGCTTCAAAGGAATTCCGGTGCTTGTGCAAATGGTTATAGTAAAATTGCGCACTCACCAGATGCGCAACAGAAACGCGCATATAAATATAGATCAAGATGTCCTCTCAAGGAGACCAGGTGGTAGGTAAGTGGCACACCAGATAATTCCAAGGCTTTATGGTGATCCAAGTCAGCCAGAGGTCCCCTATAGGGTTTGGTGGGTGTAGCTTCCTGGATATACAGGAGATCCCCTCTCTGGGTACTGGAATGGACCTGTGATCTTGAATGGGCTTTGTCCAGATTCCAAGATGGCCGCCGGACCTCCACGAGTCTTCGGCGGCGTGACGTCACGGCGTAACCAGCTCCTCCTCATCTAGCTCTTGCCTCCCCAGCTTGACTGTCCCTAGCCTGCCCCTTACTTCTTTGGATGCCCAACATCACCTCTTTCCTCCCTAGCCTGACAGCCCTTGGCCCTCCGCTTACATTGACGCCCAGCATCATCAAGCTCTTGCCTCCACAGCTTGACTGTCCCTAGCCTGCCCCTTACTTCTTTGGACACACAACATCACCTATCTCTTTCCTCTCTAGCCTGACAGCCCTTGGCCCTCCCTTTACATTGACGCCCAGCATCATCTAGCACTTGCCTCCCCAGCTTGACTGTCCCTAGAGTGTCCCTTACTTCTCTGGATGCCCAGCATCACCAATCTCTTTCCTCCCCAGCCTGACTGTCCCTAGGCTGCCCCTTACTTCTCTGGATGCCCAGCATCATCTAGCACTTGCCTCCCCAGCCTGACTGTCCCTAGGCTGCCCCTTACTTCTCTGGATGCCCAGCATCACCAATCTCTTTCCTCCCCAGCCTGACTGCCCCTTATATTTATTGAATTTGAGTTCTTTCCATCATGGTGGCTCACATGTGGGTGTTACCTGGGAGTGGGTATGGCTGGAGGACACCCAACATTATCTAGCTCTTTCCTCTCCCTGGCCCACCCCTTAAATTAATTGGATTTCAGGCCTTTCAATCATAGAGGCTCACATTCGACATTACCAAGGGTGGTCTTGCATGCAGCCTGCCTAGGTAAGTCCACTCCTTCAGACTGACATTCACTCATTAAGGCTCCATTCACACTTGAGTAGCTTCAGAATCATGAAACTTTACAGTGCGACTTGATGTGCCCGACGAGACTTTGGATGACTGTGACTTTGGCTTTGACCAAGGATGATTGTTTGTGCTTTACAAAGTCACACGCAAGTCACATGTCTATCATTCAAGTGCGACTTTGGAGGGTTTACATTGAAGTCTATGGTCCTCAAGTCACATGAAAGACAGACGTAGAGAAGTAATGCAGGAACTACTTTCACGTTGCTGGGACTTGAAGTCACAAAGATATGAACGGTACTCATATGGAAACACGGGTGCAACTTGTCATGTGACTTTGGACTTTGATGTCGCACAAGTGTGAAAGGCTTTAAGACCATTTAATATTTGCATAACTCCTCCCACTGTTTGATAAGGGCCCAGGTCTTTTGAGATAAATACTTTGGTAGGGTGCCGTGAGGCTTTCGGAAAGCTATGTACAGCACCCTGCCAGCCCCTCCCACCAGCCACAATCTGCCTGCTTTGCATAGGGAAGTAAAGAGACCAAGAGATGATGTTACTGGGTCTAAAATAAGGTATGGAATGGAAACGTTTTTTTTTTAATTTAAATATTTATGAATTTTTTCAGATAAGCAAGTTATACAAACATATTTATTAAAACCTTGGCATATTATCAAAACATTTATAGTTTCATCCCTTCCCCACCCCTTACCTATATACCACCCCCCACCCCCCCCCCCCCATCCAATCCCTGACCCCTTCTGCTCTGCATGTTCCTGTTCATTTCTGGAGATCGTAATCCCTATAAAAGAACAAAATATGTTTCCATATTATTCTATGTTAATGGCATGGAAAGGGTTTATTTAAATTATTAGCATGTTGATTTGGGGGGGGGGGGGAGAGAAAGGAGCAACCAAGGAAGACAAAATATAGCCAGAAAACCGTCAACAGCCGACATGCGTCTTTAGAGTCACAGAATGAATCTGCATTTTATATAGGCATGGCAAGAAGAATCTGGAATTCCTCCATGTACCCTGAAGTGTTCATTGATGCAAGTGAGAATTTTTAGGACCGGTTCACTTTAAGAATGTGGAAGTGGAACTAAACACTCCTATACATTACAGCCAAGGAAGCGGCCATCTTGGTTTGACCTGCAGTTGCAATTGTGCAGTACATGTGATCAATCCTAGATTGTAAGCTCCAAGGAGCAGGGCCCTCGAACCCCTCGTGTATTGTATTGTTACCGTCTTGTCTCATGTTCTGTCCCCCTTGCTATTGTACAGCGCTGAGCAAACCCTTTGGCGCTATATAAATACTGTATAATAATAATAATAAATAAATTATGACACCAGTCATTTTATGGTTTGACAATTATTATTATTATATATTTATTATACAGTATTTATATAGCGCCAAAGGGTTTGCTCAGCGCTGTACAGTAGCAAGGGGGACAGAACATGAGACAAGACGGTAACAATACAATACATGAGCTTACAATCTAGGAGGGAGGGGATAGTGGTACAGGAGGAAGTGGCTGTGGGGGATGGATTAGTAAGAGGAGTGGAGGAGATCGGTTGTTAGGTGAGGGTGGGGTAGGCTTCCCTGAAGAGATGGGATTTCAGGGTGCGCCTGAAGATGAGGAGGTAGGTGACAGTCTGATGGATTGGGGTAGGGAGTTCTAGAGGATGGGGGAAGTCCTGGAGAAGTCCTGGAGTCGGGCGTGGGAGGAGGAGACCAGGGAGCTAGAGAGTAGGAGGTCCTGTGAGGAGCGAAGGGCACTGGTAGGGTGGTATTTGGGTATCAGGTCAGTTAGGTAGTTTGGGGCGGCGTTGTGAATGGCAATTCATTTGAAAGCACAAGCA